TTTTTTGGTTTTTCGAGACAGGGTTTCTCTGTGGCTTTGAAGCCTGTCCTGGAACTAGCTCTGTAGACCAGGCTGGTCTCGAACTCACAGAGATCCGCCTGCCTCTGCCTCCCGAGTGCTGGGATTAAAGGCGTGTGCCACCATCGCCCGGCCCAAACATCTTTTAAAATACCCTGTTCTCAGGTGCTAACCACTTCACACGGGCATCCTTTATCGCCCCTGCTAGTTTAGGTATTAATATGGTCAAAACAATGATTAAGTCCCAGTGTGTAATGGAACACACCTGTAATCCCAGCACTTGGGAAGCCAAGGCGGGAGAATACCAAGTTGTAGACCAGCCTGGGGTTCGCAGTGAACTTAAGGCTAGCCTAGGCAACTAAGAGACTTTTGAGAGCTTGCTGTGTATCTCAGACACTGGGCCAAAGGCTCCGTGTCTTTACCCTTTAACAACCCTACCGAGTAGGTAGGGAAATTAGTTCCAAGTTACAGATTGGGAAACTGAGTCATGAGTCTAGGACGGGGCATGCAGGAGACTTTTACCCCCACACCCCACCACCAATTCCGTGTTTTCCAGCTCCCATTTGCAAAAATGTCTTCACACAACCTGGTTATGGAGACTGGGAGGCAGGAGGTTAGTGTTCCTTTCACAGATGAGGAAACCGGGGCTCCAGGAGCTAAAAGAAGCACCTAAGTCCCTGGCCTACCTCCCTCAGCACTGCCCGCCCAAACTGCAGAGCTCCAGTCTCAAGCAGGGCTCTGTGCTTGGTTTTTGTTCTGTTCTGATTTTGGTTTTGAGATAGTGTCTCATTACGTAGCCCAGGCTGTCCTAGAAAATCTCGGCAACCCTCTCGTCTCAGTCTCTCAAGTGCTGGTATTTATTAAAGGCGTGTGCTGCCACCCGCTCCTTTTCTCAGCTTTCTGACAGTGGGTTGCTGAAGTCTCTTCGTTGCTGAAAAGCGGCCACCCACTTAACTTGATGTCACCACGGGGTTTTGGTAGGTGGCCCAGACTGATAGAGGAAATGGAGTGGGTCCGTTCAGTCTGCGCTGCCCTGCGCGTCACCATTCACAATCGGAAGTGGGCGGCGAGCAGCCCCAGGAGGTGCGAGCTGCAGTGCTCCACACTTCTCCCAACCTCGCCCTGTATCCCCGCAGGATCTGCGCCAGTCACCCAAGGCTAATGAGTCCCAAGACCGAACCACAGTCGGGCGCACCCCACGCCTGCCGGGCCACCCCGACACGCGCGGGGCAGGAGCGACCGCGCGCCCTCGGCTGACTGTGCTCTGGGTCGTCCGGGTCACAGCGCTAGGACGTGCTAGAACGCAAACTGCAGTGGCCCCTGGAGACAGACCGCCCAAAGCCCTGCACGCCCTCCTTGCCTCGATTTCTCTCCCCTGCACCAGGGCGCGTAGGACCAGAGTCGTAACCCGAGCCACGCCCGAATTTCGGCAGGCCGCGTTCCCCCCCTTCGTGTCTCCCGGGCCCTACCTGCGCCGCCGTGGCTCCGGCCGGAGACAGAAGCGCCCCAAGGACCCCCGCCCTGCATCGTGCCGCCTGCTGCGCCCGCGACGGTAGCGCTAGCGGCCGCGGGAGGCGGTGGCAAACGGGCAGGGGGCCGAGCCGGTGGGATGGCTCCTTCCTCCTTGCCAGGACCGCCGCTTCCTCTCCAGCCTCGGCCCCTTGCACGCCCGCACGCGCGCGCCGCCCCTCGCGGCTCCCAGACCGCAGGACTCAGAAAGTTTTGCTTTTCACTCTCGCGAAACCAAGAGGGGGAAGTGCGATGGGGCAGGGTGTCCTGGGACGGAAGGACACTGGGAGTGCGAGAAAGGATAAAGGAGAAGGCAGAGACTCCTTCCTACTCCAAGTGACAGATGACGGGGGTCGGGGGAGCAGCTGTTCAAAAATGACTTGTGACTTCATTGCTGAAAATCTCTGGCAGCGCTGGGCTGGCCCGAACGCACAGGCCTTGGCCCTTGCCAAGCTCAAGGCTGCTGCTGGCTCACCTCCTCCATCGCTTGCCTTTAGCTCATTCAGCAAAGCACCTGCTACAGGACAGTGGGTACAGAAAGTGCCAGTCAGGGGCCAGGCCCTTCATGACCTCGCCTCTGGACCCGGAGGCAAAAATAAACCTACAAAACCGAACTCCGTGAAGTAGTCAGCCCGAAGCCAAAGGCCTGGAGCCCTAGGTGTGGGTGAAGCCTGAGGCAGGAGTGGGACTCCGTGAAGAAGCACGGGAGAGTTCCTGCAGCGGGGGAGGGACCTGTGACAGCTACAAGAGGGAGAAGCTGGTGCGGGCTATGCTACCTGTCACCAGGGGCCTTCCCAGACGGCACGGGGCCGATGGGCCTCAAGTTAATAAAGACATGAGCAGAGTCTGGATTTACTGCAGTGGGTGACAGGGTTGAAAAGAGCACTGAGTGAGTGTCCTACTCAGCTTTAACTGTCAGGGTGACACCGCCTGGGGTCACATGAGAAGAGAGCCTTAGCCGGTGACTGCCTAAATCTGAGTGACCTACAGCACGTCTGTAAGAAATGCCTTGACAGCAAGTGAGGAAGGCCCAGCCCACTGCAGACCATGAAGGAAGGTACTCATGAACTGTGCGAGAAAGCCAGCCGAACAGAAGCCCCGCGATGAGCCAGCTGGCAGACAGCATCCTCCGCGGATCCTGCTGTGCCTCCTTGGCAGTAAAGGGAGCTCTTGGTTGGAGGTTAATGCTATGTGTGATAGCAGGCAGGCCTGCCTTCAACTCCCTGCCTTGACTCCCCTCAGTGATGGGCTGTGTTCTGGAGTTGGAAGCTAGAATTAACCCTTTCCTCCCTTGAGAGGTATCCCACAGTAAACGCGCTCAGTCAGCCTGCTGTAGTGCACTCCCAGGTATATCTGACCCACACCCACGGATAGCTAGGAACTCCCAATTCCTAGCTGAAACTTTGGCTAAGGCCTGTCTGAAAGCGGGGCTGGAAAGACGGCCGGCCTGGTGGTTTAGAGCATATGCAGTTCTTGCAGAGGACCAGAGTTTGGTTCCATAGGCTCTGTACTGAGCACTCACAACCACCTGCCAACCCAGCTCCAGAGGACGGATCAGATGCCCTCTTCTGGCTATCACCACGCCCCCACCCCCAGACACTGACAGACAGACAGATGGACAGACAGACAGATGTACAATTACACAGAATGAAAGTAAAACATTTTTAAAAACATAAAATATCAGAATCATATTTTAATTAAAATGCCACCTCGTTTGTGAGTACCTGTATACACACATACTCACACATGCACACCCATAAAAGTGAAGGTAGTTTTGTCTCCTGTAAGTGCTCACCAGGAGGAGACTGTTGGTGTACAAAAGAGTTCCACAATAGTCTGAAATGGAGTATAACAAAGGTTTATTTATTTGGGAATAAACTCTCAGTAAGGGTGGTGGATGCACAGTCCTCTGTGTGCGCTGGGAACTGGAGCCAAATCCAGCAGCCAAGGGGGGGGCGAGCATGCTTTTTGTCTGCGTTTATAGTACATGAGACTATGCCCAAGGTATACTGGTATCTTAAAGGCTATTGGCTGAAGGAGTTCCCGCAGCACCTCCCCTTTTTGTCTAAATAAGAGAGTTCTAAGCCTAATACAAAGCTATATACAATAAAAAAACAAATATCAAGTATTTCCCAGGGAAAAGAAGAGGCAAAAACATACATAAAAATTAGAATTACGGTGGTGGTGCATGCCTTTAATCCCAGCACTCGGGAGGCAGAGGCAGGCGGATCTCTATGAGTTCAAGGCCAGCCTGGTCTACAAGAGCTAGTTCCAGGACAGGAACCAAAAAAAGCTACAGAGAAACCCTGTCTTGAAAATTCAAAAAAAAAATTAGAATTACGATCAGCATGAACAACATCAAACAAGAAAGATATGCTAAATGTTTCAGTAGCTATCCTATCCTAAGGAGTCTAAGTCTTATATTCAAAATGGCTTGGCAAAGTCATGAGAGGACAGTAACTATGACTTCAACCCCATCAAAGACCCAAGAAGGGAAATAGTATTACTTGAGTAAATAGGAAGTGTAATCAAGCAACTTCCAAAAGGTGCAAGAAATGACAGAGACAACCGGCTACCTGGACCATCACCTAAAGTCTCATTTGCAATGCTGGGGCAACCAACTTTGAGGCCTAGAGTATCTGACTGACCATTTTCAGAGGCAGGAAAATTTGAAAAACTGTCTTACCCTGTCTCGGCAAGGTCTGGCAGTCTTTTTGCTTGTATCCTGCTTGTCCAGTCAGACACCGTGCATTTTGTCAGTATTCGAGGCAGGGGCAGTTCTTTGCCCAAAGGTCAGTGGGAAATGAATGAGCAGTCTCCGTTTACAGGTGACCTCAAGCAAATGACAGCATGCTCTGAAGTTAGCAGCCAGCCTCTTTCTCCAGCTGCCCTGTTGTTACACCCTGCATCCATGAGCATGGCGGTCATGGCAGCAGGGATAGCCACGGCATGTGGGCTCAGCAACCTAGATCTTTATTCAGGGAGGCCCACCCAGACACAAAAGCTGCTGTGCCTGACCAGCCAGCTGCAAAGATCAGCAGGGCCTCCAGCTCAGCACTGCCCCCTAGTGGTCAGCCAGCTTCCTGGTGGCTGCTTGCTTATATTAAACTGCTTCCATCACAGAATGGACAGAACTGTGTCCTTATTAAAATAGTCTCCTCTCTAAAGACATTTCTGCTAAATCCAATGGCCCTTGGTTCATGCCTTGTAATCTTGGAAAGAATACTTGGGAGATTTATTGCCATAAGCTCAAGGCCAGCCTGGGCTCTACACTCTTTATTTTAAAATATGTTAACTGGTTTAGAACAGGAATATCTGAAGCCTTGCAGAGAGGTTAGTCCTCCGCTGCACACTGCACAGTGACTTGCAGAGAGACACTGTGCACACGGCTCTGCTTCCACACGGCTCTGCTTCCACAGAGCGACCCTCAGAGCAGAGCAGCGTGGTAACAGGCCGCACTCATGACAATCCTTCTCATGCCAGAGTTGGCAGACAGCAGGATGGCCTTCTGAGGTCTCCATTACAACCCCGGGGAAGTACAGTATCTAGAAGGGTCATCTGTATGTCCTGGGAATCATCGTCCATTGTGACAGGCTGGATTCTTGGACCTAGGAGTCAAGAGGGAGGTGAGAAGCTAGAGTGGCTGTCCCTGCTCACCCTTGAGGACCTACCCCGGTGACCAGTGTTGTGATGCTGCCCCACCCCCAAGGGGTGGTACTGTATCATTTAAGGCTCTTAACTGTGGTTAATCACAACCGATATACTCCAGGTGCAGGAGTTCTGCTAAGGATCTAGGCTGTTTGCAGAGTCAGGAAGCAGGATTAGGCTGGTGCTCCACAAAGACCAGGGCCAGCTTGAGGATGCCAGAGGTCCCAGCGGCACCATCACTGCCGCTTTTCTGGTAACTCCTGCTTCTCGTTACTCCTGATTTCAGGGGTTTCTAACCCAGTCTCATGGAGAACATGACCCATTCGGGGTCAACTCCAGACCTCCAGGAATGAGATCCTGTTTGGCCCAGTGGAGGTCAGAGCCTACAACTCACGCCTCCAGGGTACCCAGATGGAGACACAGGAACACAGGACAACACACGGGCGAGGGGCCTCTGTGGGCAGGACAGCCATGCTGAGTCCTGCTGCTTGCAAGCAAAGAAGTCACACCTTTAACTTCCTGTGCTTCTGACTCTCATTCTGAATGCCGAGGTGTGTTGTGTCTCCACACAAAGGGTTACTGAGCACACAGCAAGGAGATCATTGTTCTATCAACAGGTTAAATATTTTTTTTAATATTTATTTATTATGTATACAATATTCTGTCTATATGCCTGAAGGCCAGAAGAGGGCGCCAGACCTCTCTACAGATGGTTGTGAGCCACCATGTGGATGCTGGGAATTGAACTCAGGACCTTTGGAAGAGCAGGCAATGCTCTTAACCACTGAGCCATCTCTCCAGCCCTCAACAGGTTAAATATTGTCAGAAAGTTCTTCCTCTTCTTCATGAGAGTGAAGATGAGGCAACCTCAAAGAATAATGCCTGAGGCCACAGCAGAGTCTGTATCCATCACTGGCCAAAACCACAATTGCTCTTCCTATAGGAATTTGCATGTGATGTGCATATGAAAACCAAGGGGTGTGCACCTGTAGCCGGGACCGCGAGCTGAGAGGACAAAACATAAAACTCTTTGCCAAGTCAATGAACTTCAAAAGACTCATTTGAGAACCCAGGACGCTCTTAGGAGCTGACTGGTAACAAGTCCTGCCTGCGGGGTGCTGTCCTACCCTGATTAAGCTTGTTCTATTGAGTTCACCTTCACAGACAGTAGCGTAGCGAGGGCAGAGCCTGCGGGAGCTCTTGTAAGAGGCCCGGCCAGGAGAGTAGGGACTGGAGAAAGCAGACTCCAGATGAACACGTGAGAGAAGCCAGTTGACCACGTGAGACTGGAAGCCCCTCCCCACCTGCACGACACACAGCAAACAGAGCATGTGCAGAAAACGTGATGCATAAACGGTCAGAAAGCGCAACGGAGGAAGGGTCATGAGGGCTCTGCCCTCAGTTCACTGGTCCGCCCCTATTGTAAGGGGTGCGCTGCCTTGCCCTCCCTCTGCTTCTTTCTTCTCCTTCTTCTTTAGTCTTATTTCTTTCCTGGGGGCGGGGGGCACG